ATCCCCAGGTTGCAGACCTGATCCGGAACATCCTGAGGGCACTCAGAGGAGCGAGCGCGTGCCCCGGGGCAGGAGCTGAGCGGGCTTGCTTTCTTGCCACGTTCTGCTGAGGGTCCCTGGCACCTGCCAGAACACCTTCTTGGAGTTCTTCCCCGCAATGGCTGAGGTGACAGGCCCATGGCGCAATGCCTTGATGGGATTCTGCTCTTTGAACTGCATGAGTTGCCCTAAAGAATGGAAGGCCAGTTGCAGGCGTTCGTCTCCGGGCTTGACTGCATGGCCCTTTCTGCAGCTGGCCCTGCGGATTTCCGCAGGCAGGAGGGCACCAAGAGTGAGTGGCTGCTATAGTCAGAAATGAAGGTCTTTTGTGGCAGTTCCTGCAGTCATTTGTGCTTTAAAGTCCCTTCCTATGGTGAAGTCACCATCTCCTCTGAACGTAACAGATGTTTTTGCCAAATATCTTTTCAATAGGTAACTTTTGCTGTAACACTGGTTCGTGTAATAAAATTACTGCCTACAATCAAATACATTTTTACACTTCCGTCAGCTCTCTCTGTATGGATTTCCTACTGGTTAATAATGTTGAGGCACAAAACCAAATTCTTTTCTAAAAAATTTTACTTATTTAGAGAGAGCGAGCAAGGGAGGGGCAGAGAGAGAGGGAGAGAAAGAACCCCAAGAGAAAGAACACTGTGCTAGCAGCACAGAGCCTGATGTGGGGCTTGAACCCACCAACCATGAGATGGTGACCAGAACCAAAACCAAGAGTGGAACACTCAATCTACTGAGCCACCCAGCTGCCCCCAAAACAAAATTATTCATGTCTATCTGCAGTGTGAATTTCACATGCTAAGCCAGAGATGACCCATGGGTGACAATGATTGAAATTTCATTTTGTTGTCTGTAATTATGATGAACAAAGTATGAGCTGTGGGTAAAATAACATACCTTAGATTCATACCCTCTCTGTTTTATTTTTTTTTTTAAATTTTTTTTTTTTCAACGTTTATTTATTTTTGGGACAGAGAGAGACAGAGCATGAACGGGGGAGGGGCAGAGAGAGAGGGAGACACAGAATCGGAAACAGGCTCCAAGCTCTGAGCCAGCCCAGAGCCCGACGCGGGGCTCGAACTCACGGACCGCGAGATCGTGACCTGGCTGAAGTCAGACGCTTAACCGACTGTGCCACCCAGGCGCCCCATACCCTCTCTGTTTTATATGAATTATCTGATGCTTGAGTAGGAGAGGAACACATTCCTTCCAATCTACATTCATTACATTCGTAGGGGTTTCTCCAACATGAATTCTCTCATGCTTGGCAACAGTTTGGCCATGTTTATATTTGGGAGTTCCCAAATTTGGCACATTTGTAGGATTCTCCCCAGCAAGAATGGTCTCCTATTAGCATGGGTGAAGTCGTGTCTAAAGGTCTTTTCTCATTCACCTCATGTATAGTTTCTGAGATGTGAGGATTGGCTAACTTAACACATTTGCAGGATTTCCCTCCAATGTGAATTCTCTAACATTAAGTAAGGTGTGAGTATTGGCAAAAAGCTTCCCATGTTCCTTACTTTATTTTTTTTAACATTTTTATTGTTTATTTTTGAAAGAAAGGGGCGCCTGAGTGGCGCAGTCGGTTAAGCGTCCGACTTCA